TGATCAGATGTTGAACCACCTCAACATGAAGGAGCAGCGGCTCTACTCCGAGCTCCCTCCAGATGTCTGACTCCTCCCCCTATCTCTAAGGCTGAGCCCAGACACCCTACAGAGGAAACTCATTTCAAACGCTTGTATCTGTGACCTCATTCTTTCAGTCACTACCCAGAGCTCATGACCATAGGTGAGGGTTGTCATAGATGGTCCAATAAATCGAAAGCTTCGCCTTCTTGCTCAGCTCCTTCTGAACCACGTTGGTCCAGCACAGCTGCACGAAACCATCAATCCATCTCACGCTCCATTTTACCCTCACTGTGAACCTGAAGACCCTGAGATACTTGAACTCCCTCGCTTGGGGCAGTTACTCTCTCTGAACCCAGAGGAAACAATCCACTGACGGACTGATGGCAATCTCAACAGTCACATGTTCACAGATAAACTTTCATTGATATGAGATTAATCCTTTAAGATGATCATGTTTATTGTTTCTGAAGCAGCACCTTCAGTACCTGGATCAAGCAGCTTGTGAAAAACAGTCCCATTAACTATGTCAGCCACATGATTATTGGCTTTTATTCTTAAGAAGTCAAAATGTCCCAAAATGTCAATCCACAGCATTTAGAATCAAAGACTGTCTCTGTAAGTTATTCTCTCTGAACTCGCAGCACTGTATCTATAAAATACCTTCACACACATTCACATTATTTCTGCTTCTACACTGGAAAGGTGAAAAATGCACTTGGTGAATTTACAATGTCATCATATGGACCTTCAGTCAGTTCAAATAAAACCTGAAAAGAGCTATAAAATGTTGACTAATTCAAAACAATGAAATAAGAAGTCAGTGTTAATGTAATTATCCGTCACACCCCAACCCTCCACAGGTCAAATTATAATCATTTAAAGAACAGCAGCGTCCACAGGTGATCCCATTCAGCCCTGTTTTTATTGAGGCCGACACCTCAAACTGGCGTGCTGAACATTTATCATCATCACAGATGAAACTGAGACGTCTCTCTGTTTAGCAGGAGTAGAAGAAAAAAGCAGGTATTTCATTTCACAATGTGCTTTTGTGCACACGTCGCTCCATTTTGCAGCGGGGCTTTTCCAAACAGTGGGCCTCCTCCTCTTCATTTCCTCATAATAATGTCTTTGTCAAACAGCGGCTCACCTCGCCAACAAGTCCACAAATCTAAACCGCTGACTCGAAGACACTTTCAACACATGAAGAAAATCATATAAGGAGAGTAAATATGGCCGGCGGAGAGAGGGCGGGTTTGCATTCCCCTTGTGGCTCCCTATTGTCACATCTCCATCTGGCCCTGGTTACCGCACGAGGCCGAGGAGACGCCTGTCACTCGTTGGGAAGTCTGCACAGATTTGGCTCAGGGGGATAACGAAGAGAGGAAACACACACACACACACACACATTCAGGGTTGAACTCTGACTTCCTATCTCCTTCAGCAAAAACAACTGCTTCATCATAAAGGCAGAGAGCAGCAGTGTGATGCGTTCACTGTCAGGTAAAGGACGAGCATCTGTTCTGCTCCTGCTGAGAGGAAACAAGTCTCCACAGCAGCAGACGGCGGTCGTCTGTATCCATCATTGAAAAAGGGAAACAGGAAGAGCGTCTTGATGCTAGTTAGCCAGTTAGCACATGAACAACACAATCAGAGCATATTTACCGTGCACCAGTGAACAATAACACAAACCATCAGGAAACATTTCTGCTAAAGAGAAAAATAATCTGACCTTATGGAACAAGTTGGTTTTGGTCTCACTCCCTCTGGACTTTAGCTCCTCCTTTACTCACTGACGCTCCTCTGCCCCTCACCTGAGCTCAGCTCACAGTCAGAGAGAGGTCATTCACTGACGGGCTCTGCCATCATCGCTGCAGATTCAACACCGTAAATCGGCCAAAAAGAAGCCACTGTGGGCCGATGAGGGGCAACAGTGCTGGACACACCACTGTGATGAGGACAAATGTTCACCAACAGGCTCTGATTGGCTCTGATTGGCTCTGATTCATCGTGCTGAATCGGCCAAAAACAAAAAGCTGCCAGTGGCTGATGTGAACTCACCACACTGTTGAGGGTGACAGAGGCTCACTGACGGCCCAACACTGACCGAAGACTTACTGTTGGCTTGGTGTGTCAGGACCTTTCAGGTCACGGCAGACAGGTGACTACTCACAGAACGCACACCAACCAGCTGTGACATGCTAACGCTACTAGCTCCCAGAGCTTCCTCCTTCCATCACCTCTGTCCTGTGCAGTTTAGCCCCCCCCCCGGCATTTTGTTCTCAGTATGTGCAGGATTTCAATCAATTCACTCTGCAGATGAATAAAAAGCTCTGAGAAGAGAAGCAGCTCACTGACTGTCAGCTAGCTATTGTAAATCCGGATGTGACCTGGCCTTTATGCATCCAATTAAACCTCCTCTGCAAGACAGAATACGAAAGTCACGGCTACATTACTTACTGCTCATCTATTCAATGTAAATGTAGCTTTCTTTATGCTATTTAAACAAATGACAAGGACAGCCTCAGGAGGCGCTGTGCTGTGACTGTGGTGCTCATTGTTACTGTATTTAAAGCACAAGATGAAAGGCTGGACAAACTATCAATTCATTTCAGTTTTATTTTAACAGCCTCATATGACAAAGCACAGTGCGGCTCAGAGGGCCCTCTGTCCTTGGACACTCACAGCTCACCAGGAAAAACTCCCCAAAAACATGGCTGAAAGCTCAAGAAGAGACACCGAGGAGGGATCCCTCTTCAGGACGGACACGCTGACAGTAGAACAGATCAACAGAATGAATGTGCAGTGATCCATATGACAGCGAGACGTCCATATTGTCTCTTTGTCTGCAGGCTGAATGATGGAGACTCCTCAGAGCAGCGTTGGCTCAGGGAATTATCACATATGGGTTTGTGTGAGTGTTTGGAGGTCGGCTGGACGGTGAAGGTTTTAAACCTGGTTCTCCATCGTTACTGTTGCTCTCTGAGCTCATTTCAGTTAAAGGAAGGTAACCCGACCCTCAGCGTGCACTTATGGACAACCTCCGGCGGCGGCTTAGGGGAGCAGACGTCTAGCAGGCGCATGTGGCCCGGCCCGGGATGAGAGACGTATATGTAAGGGAGGACCGACAGCCCGGGAACAATAGCGCCTCTGTGCCTCGGCACCCCTCTGGATCACATTTCCTCCCAGGTCCAGATCGAAATGAGGCGGGGGCCCTGTCGCTGATCTAGCAGGCGAGCAGAGAAAGCCACACAGAGGGGAGGGTGCCGTATGTCAATAGTGATTAGGATCACGATCACAACTGTGGCGGGTGTGGGGCGCTGGGAGTGGGGGTGCAGGGAAACATTTGGCCCTCCTGAACTTTATTGTCTGCTGGCTGGTCGAGAGGAATGTCTCCTGGACCTGTTTAAAGATAACTGTGTGGATCATGATCCATCTGAAAATAAAAGAAATGACTTCTGATTCCTTTGTGGAGGCCGGGGCTTTCATCTCTTCAGGATCTGTGGTTTCAGAGCAAAGAACGTCATGTGTAAACAGTTTGCCTGCTTTTGGAGGTGACAGGAAGACGTGTGCTCGTCCTGCCTGCTTTGTGCCAGATTCTGGATACACAAAGTCTGAAATATTTCCACACTCTGGGCTCAAGTTCCCGACTCTTTATTGCAACTACTCTGCCAACAAATTCTTTGTCAGGAAACTCTAATGAAGATCCTGTTTGTCTAAACACTGCAGTAAAATACTGAGAGCTTGAATGGAATGCTCAGGATATATTTTTCCATGTGTGAGTGTTTCAGTGATGCATGCTGATGTTAAATAACAAGACGGTCCCATCAAGTCGTACTAATGTCATACTTTCCTCTGCGTTAAACCGCAGCTGACGAGGTGTTAATGCTTCATGTCAGGAGCACGTCCACCTGAATATTGACAGTTTCTCTGTTTTGTGCAGCATTTAATGCTCAAAAGAAACTGGAGAAGCATTTATACAAAGTGACACCCACACACTCTAAGCGTGATGGGACCTTTGAGTGGCCTGCGTCACAAATACAAACCTTTGGAAGTCAAAGTCGATGGAGGAGAAGCGTGACTGCAGGATGGCCCAAAGACCCCAGAAGAAGTTGGAGGCCTGTTGGAAGAGAAAGAAAAACACATTAAAGAGCCACAGCAACAGTTTTCATGATTCAGACTGGTTTTCAAAGTGTTTGAATGTTTCACTGGTTTTTATTCATTTTATCACAACATGAAAATACTGGACTTGGTATGATCCATGACAGTGAACATCATGTCTGATTTTATTGTTGAAGAGGTAGAAATTATTGAATTGAATCATACAAACTGTGTGTGTGTGTGTGTGTGTGTGTGTGTGTGTTTCATCATCATCAAACCACTGTTTATTAAGAAAAAACTGGCTGAGCATTAAACTCTCACAGCAATGCACTGAGTTGAGTTCACACCCAATGTGCTGCAAGGAAACAAACATATAAAAGAAATCCCAAAATAATGATGAAAAAACTCCATAAGAACATGAGCAGCAACGTCTATCAAGGAATTATGAAAAAAAACAGGAAAAAGACAAAAACATGAAATAACAAGAACAAAATCTGCCATAACTGACGGATACACAGCAACAATAAAAACAGTCAAATGCAGAGAATGAGAAGGTTTCATTAAAACTACAGCAGTGACATTAAAGAGGAGAATGTGAGATGTCCAATCTACTACATACCTGAAAACACATATCACATGACCACTGCCATACACTGCCCCCCAATGTAAACAGGAAGCAGATTGTCCATGGTTGGTTGCTAAGTTACAGAAAACACGAAGAAGATGGCAGAAAGTGAGAGCAGAGATTTCTTTGTTTGGACTGATGATGAGGTGGAGACATTACTGAAAGTAACACGCGAGTATACGGAGGTCAAGGTGGCAGAAAACAGATATGAGGCGTTACAAAGCAACACAGCGACATGTTGGCAATACCAGGAGCATCATCCAGCACTGCAGGAAGTCATGACGATGGGAAAAGAGTAAAGTTTCCCACACAGGAAGGATGAAATCATGAAAGGTAATGAAGAGTTCACTGTCATGTTTTGGCTTGACGTGTCGTGACCACAGACTGTAAAGATAATGGACGTAGCCGCCATTATGTCACTCTTTGGTTCGTAGACTCCTGTTTTGAAGCTTCAAGTTCCACGTTTCAGCCATCTCCATCTTGGTGTTTTGGAGCCAGTGACCATATTTGGATGAGAGGGTGGAGCTGTGGAGGAGTGAGGGGTGGAGCTGACTGAGAGGCCAAGGACAGTCTGTGATGATGAATGTTGAAATGATCTCCAGAGACCAAACAGGCTGTAAACATGTTGATTTCTACATGTGAACATGAAGGTCCGTGGGGAGCCAGCCTCTAGTGGATATCAAAGGAACTGCAGGTTGTGATGCATCATGTTTTGGCCCTGGAGGTCAACACTTGGTTGTGACTGATATGACTCACTGAGGAGGAGAACCTGGATGCTCGTCCACACTAAAACACACTCCAGAGTGTTCAAACTAAAACACACTCCGGAGTGTTCAAACTAAAACACACTCCGGAGTGTTCAAACTAAAACACAGTCCGGAGTGTTCAAACTAGTGTCTTCAGCACGGATCTGATTGGCCGATAGAGAGTGATCAAACTCATTAACATACTGTAGTCTGTGATTTTCCTGCAGGACTTTAAGAAACTGTATAAATCTTGTGGTGTCTGCACATTAACGTGTGTCAGTGACTGTTGTAAATTAAAAGGTGTTGTATGCTTTCATAAAGTTTGTTTGTCTTTGATGCTTTGCTTTATTTCTGTGCTCCACAGAGCAGAACTGTAAAAACACTGCGATGACCTCCGATCATCCTCTAACTGCTGCTGCACGCCGCCGCCGCCCCTGCTGCTGCTGCTGCTGCTGCTCAGTCAGGATGACAAACCTCTGTATTGAATGGTTCCCTCCTTAATGGCTTTGCTCACTTAGGCTTGCGGACTTCCCTGCCTCCATAAATTTCTGTTGTTCTCCACCCTTATTGTAAATCTTCATGGTAGGACCACTAATAGCGAGTCCTAATAAGATCCAGACAGGCCTCTGTTCTGCGGCCCAGTGATATAATCACATTTTTATTTGATAATCAAATAAAGGCTGGAATGAAATACTTGAAGAGCAATGTGCGGTTTTCCCTTGGCGTTCTCCTCCTCACTGGCAGATTTTCATCTCTAATCTCTGTCTCTAGTTGGAGGGAGAGATTGAGCGTGTTTCCATTATGATTAATAACTGCTCTCCATTAAGAGGCGAACGCTGCACTCAGAGCGGCGGTGACACGCAGCCATTGAGAAAAACGCAGATGAGAAACGGGCAGGGTGACATCACAGAACCGCAGGCTTCAGCCTCCACATCAGGGGGGATCCCTGCGGAGGAGGCAAGTCGTAAAGACCCCACTGCGTCTTGGCACAGCGTGCCAGGGATTAAGATGGGAGGGAGGCAGCTTCACGCCGCAGAGCTTTGGCACCAGGCCAGACTTTGTGGATGGCACACAGCTTCCTCCAGTGCAGGCTGCTTCCCTCATCTGTATTCTCGTCTATGCTGAACTATAGTGTCACTTCAATGTAGTCTGATTATTCACAGCAATTACCAAGTGACACCAGCAGCACACAAAAAGACATAATGGAGTTTAATGCAGTTCATCAAAAAGGCAGAACAAAAAGCTCACACACAAAACAACAGCAGCAGACTGACGACGCCATCGCTGCTGTTTGGAAAGTTTCCAAACTCACTTACACATCATGAAATCCATCATCTGGGTTTCACCAGGTGGGATGACCAGAAATGTTTTTAAAATCTTTAACCAACCAAAATCAACACGTGTACGAGTTTGTTTTTAACGTGGGTTACCTGGTGACAGAGTTCCCTCCCATCGTAGACCCCAGCTGTGAACACAGTCTCGGTCGGGGTGTTGTCGCCTGGTTGCAGCCCAGGTTAGTGAACAGTAGAAATCAGCATGGAGGCCAGTGACAATGTAACGGTGGTTACTTCTTTTTTATTTCTCTAACTTACTCTGTCTCTCTTTCAAACTCGGTGCAGGCTAAATACCAAGTGATGTTTTAGTGCTGCTCAGACAAAGACAGACGCTATTTTCTGTCATCACATCGTGGCGGTAAACGAGGAAAGTTAGCACATCCACCTGGGTACTGTTCTTCCATCACTGCTGATTCAGAGCTGTGTTAAGGAGCCGGGTCTGTTTTGTGTTGCATTTGCTGCTGTCAATCAATCAATCAATCAATCTATCAATCAATTTTATTTATAAAGCCCAATATCACAAATCACAATTTGCCTCACAGGGCTTTACAGCATACGACATCCCTCTGTCAGGAAAAACTTAAAACAACTGAGGAGGGATCCCTCTTCCAGGACGGACAGACGTGCAATAGATGTCGTACAGAACAGATCAACATGATAAATTAACAGTAATCCATATGACACAATGAGACAGAGAGAGAGACAGAGAGAGAGAGAGAGAGAGAGAGAGAGAGAGAGAGAGACAGAGAGAGATACAGGTAATGACAGTAGCTTACAACAACATTAATGAAAGTAATAATATTATAGTTATAGTTCTGGCTACTGTGGTACAATATGTTGAAAGTATGTATTAATATCTGACAGTATACATGTGTGACAATAGTCATATGTGTATAATAACAGTAGAAGTATAGTAGAGAGAGAAAGAGAGAGAGAGAGAGAGAGAGAGAGAAGGAGAGAAGGTGCCCGGTGTATTATAGGGGG